AACTTTGTTCCATCCTCTGTTAAATCAGTCATTTTCTAATGTTCAGCACCAAGAAGCCTCACTTCTACTTTCAAAATGTCTCTCAGACTTGTCCTCTCTCTTCACCTCAGCTGAGCCCACTGCAACCCAAACTCCCTGGCCTCTTCCCCGAGAAAATACAGTGGCTTCCTGTCTGGTTGACTTGTGTCCATCCTTGTCCCCTTCCGATCAGTTCCGATACAAGTGAAACCAGATCATTCTTCTACACACATCTCCTTATTGACTCAGTATAATTTAATAATATTTAACACAACTAATACAACAGCATGATCTGACTAGTGACCACTTTTCTAACATTGAGTATCCACCAACTGATGTACGGCTTCCTGTCTGGTTGACTTGTGTCCATCCTTGTCCCCTTCCAATCAGTTCCGATACAAGTGAAACCAGATCATTCTTCTACACACATCTCCTTATTGACTTAGAAGTATAATTTAATAATATTTAACACAAGTAATACAACAGCATGATCTGACTAGTGACCACTTTTCTAACATTGAGTATCCACCAACTGATGTGTGAATGGGATATTGCTTGTCAATAAAAAATGAAGTACTGGTACATGATGGATGTTGAAAATATACTATCTTTAAATTCCTGTGTTCATACTCTATTAAAGCCTGTTTCCCTCAACTCTCTACAAGGGTCAATGAAACTTGTATTTTGCCCTAGAGATACTCAGAGATTACTTAAAACAATATATTTACAATTATTTAACTCTTTATTCTCAATCCACAATCTCTTTTGGAGGGGGCTGTGTTTTATTTTTTATAATCTGGCATCCCTAAATTACTAAGTGATGGAACCGTTACAGAGAGACCAGTCCTTGAGAGACTGATGTCCCTCCTGCTAGCTTCAACACTTTTAGTACTTGTTACTCTTGATTCAAATTACCACTCCCAAATATTCCTAAAGTTGGGAGACACTTCCTTTCTGTTTGTGATAGATCTTCAGTTCCAAAGAAAAATGCTGCTTGTGTTCTTGCACTTTCACACACTCTCACTCTTATTTTAGTTTCACTCACTAGAGATAATTTGAGAATTATTTTGAGCACCTCAGCTGTATAATGCATGGAACCCACTTCAATCCCTCAAAAAGAAAAGTTTCTTGCTGAAATCACGTCAGGTAATACTGATTAAGTTCAGGTCTAAGTGGACTTTCCTACTTTAAGATTTGTCCCACCAATTCAAGGCAACACAAAAAGGACAGAGAGTATTCTTTCCCCTCATGATGCGAAAGAAATAATCTTGGAACCACTGGACCAACAATCCATAGCTATATTTCACAAGACAGTGGGGGTCCTCTTAAAAATGAAGATTCTAGGTGCTGGCACCTGCCCTTCACCTCTTTCCACAGGGCACTAACATGTAAAGGATGGTACTGGTGGCTGGGGGAGAATGTGCCTCACAATAACAGGGTGCAAAGTGACCAACAGCCTAACTGCTGGACGCTGAGGCTATGAGTTGCATTTGCGTCTCAGCCACCACTGCTACATGCTACACTCAGCCACCTACAGACATGGCAAGGCCTCTAATGGAGGTCTCCTGATGGCCTCCGCCATCTTTTTCTCCCTCCCTTCCTGGGCACAGATTAGCACTTCCCGCCTGCCTTGCCTCCTCCTACCTCATCTCCTTTTCTCCCACTCAGGTTTCTCCTAATAAAATGTCTGCATGCTTACTCCTGTCTTGGTCTTTGCTATTTAGATGATCCAGCCTAACAAATCTGGACAATGTACTTAAATTTATATCTTCTGAAACTAGCAACTTTTAAATGGGTTCTCAGAAAATGGGGATACAAACAGGGACTTTGTAAAGTAAATATCAGATACAGAGTTCTTCCTTCTCTATTCCATTCCTATCTTGCAAAAGATACTAATAAAAGAAAATCAGTGTTTTAAATAAAGTATCAAATCAATGACTTTACTAATATTAAAGACTCTCTTTCAACTACAATTTCATCCAGTTCTAAGAAGAAAGAGCAAATTAAAAGCTATAACTTGATTGTATACCTAAAATGTACCAATAAAATCAATGAGGGGGGAAAAAAACCAACTGTAACCTGAAATTACCTACTTATGTTGTCAGTCTTTGATTAGACTATGAGCTCCTAAAAGGTGGGTACTATACTAGGTTCCTTCATCACGGGTACTCAAAAAATGTCTGTTGAATGGAGATGATGTTTAATGACAGTGAACCACAGAGAACCAACAACAGTGAACTACAGCATCTACCACAGAGACAAAGGTGGCAAGGAGTTCTAGACTTCGCTAGGTACATGGAAAGGCAAATAAAATATACCTATTGTTTTCACTGTACAACCTACAGAAAATAAACTTCAATGTTTCCTTTTACAAACCATAGAAAGTAAAGTTCAACAAAATCTCTTAGAGTGGGAATAAGTAAAAGATAAAATGAGAACCATTACAGGGAAATGATTTTAAACTGTTGAAGGAACTGCATCAGTGATAATCTTACTGGCCTAGAATAATTATACTCTCTCTAAAAATTGGTCAAGATATAATGTCTGGATTTAGGAGGCTAAGTCACAAAATCATATGCACCGACATACACATATAGACTACACGTGTGTGTGTGTGTGTTTATATATATATATACATTTTATAAAATGTATTTAGATTTTCTTGTATCAATAAATTTCACTATAATCTAGATTTACTCAAACTTCATTATTTACACACTGATAGCACATACATTTCTCTTTAATAGAAAAATCACGTCTTCTTACCATATTAGAGATGAGTTTAAAACAAAATATTGATCATTTATAGTGAAAAGTTGCCATTTACTAAATAATTTGATAGTAAACAGAAATAAAAAGGAAGTTTGAGAATTACACATATATACACTTTCTATATACTGATTTCTTCAAGGCCATTTTTAAAAAAAGCAGTTTCACTAACTGCTGGCATATTTATAATGATTACATTTTTACTGTAGCAATGAAAACAAATTTTTAAGTGGAAACTCTAAAGAAGGAAGCTTTAAGTAGAATTTACAATGACAGATTAATACATCTAAATTATATCTTGTTGTTGGAAATTTGTTTCTGCATATTAACAGATTTAAAACCTAATTAATTTCTCCCTACTTCTTAAGAGCATAACATTAACATTGACTTGACTCACGTAATTTTAAATACATTTGGTAAATGAGAGCAGGTGGAGAAACGTAGGTCACCAGAGAAAGAGTGAAAAAAAGCAGAAAGCACTTTCCTCCCTTCCCTTTTTCATTATTTAACCAAGAAACTACTGTAAGTAGGGAAAAATTAAAGAATAAAGACATATCTAAAAGTCTATGGCAATTTCAAATGATTAATTACAGGTCTTTTAACATATATAACAGTCTAATGAAAATTTTATGTAGAGTAGGTTCTACAGAATTACAAGTTAGCACTACACTATCTAACACTGGGGATTCTAACTTTTGCCCTGCAGCTTCAGAAGAAAATAAAAGCATAGCTCTTCACATTTCAAATTGTTAACATGTCATTTTTCATGAGTCAACCAAATAATAGATTTGAATTCAACTGCCTACCTGTTCAGGGTGTGATAAAACACTTCACAATGAAGCCACAGTCAAAAGGACTAATCCTAACTAATTTAACAGGTACTTTATGTAAAAAAATAGAAACGCAACTAATTCTAAGTAGTTAAACAAAAGTAACTGAAAATTGTCACTTGAAGGTTAAGGGAAACAAAGGGGCCTATAATTTTAGAAAGTCTGACAAATTTCATAGAAGGACAGAATATAGATTATCTCAGTGAAGGTACTTTTGATGTAATATTAAAAAAAAAAACCCAAAATTCCAATTAGAAAAAGTGAACAGGTGGAAAGGGATCATTTATTCTTTTTCCAAAGATACTGTTTTCCTAGTTAGCTGTCAGAAATAACTGCAGGACTTCTCAACAATTGCTTATAAAGTTGCATTGTAAATTATTTTTTTTGGCAACAAAATGTGGTGTGCATATTAAAAATATGCAACTTTTCATGCTACAACATTTCCATTTTTTCCTTCATCTGAGAAATATTTATGACTAATATTTAGTAGAACATAACTAAGCATTGTTCTACTGCTAGGGATACAGCATAAACGGAAGGCCTCCAATCCCTGCTCCTGTAGAGAGTACTTTCTCAGTGAGACAAATAATAAGCAAGAAAGTTAGTGGGTGGTAGTGTGTGTCTATTCCCATACTGTTCCACTGTCAGTCTGCCATATACAGTCCTTTGCTGCAGTGCTACTGGATGTGGTTTAAATGAAATTATGATGTGGAAAAGACTTTTTGATATTTCAGATAAATTCTCTTCAGATTTTAAGGGAAATTTGTTTTTAAAAGACCAGTCCAAAATAAACCAGAAGCAACCAAACATTTTAACATATTTTAGGTTTTTGCAGCCCACCTACGATGAGTGTCACATAGTCTTCATTTTTTTTTTTTTTTGGTACCGGGATCTAACTTGGGACCTTGGGCCTACAAGGCAGGTGGCGGAACCACTGAGCTAAATCCCAGGCCCCTTTCATTCTTTAAAAATATAAAACTATCCCTATCTCACAGACCACATAAAAACACCACGGGCCGAATTTAACCTGCAGCCATAATTTGATAACCCCTGACCAAAACTACTGAGTATACAAGCTTTTAAGTGCTTATTTCCGGATTCATTCTATGTATTGTTTGTGCATTTCTTCTTTTGCTCTTTATTAGTCTTCCACCAAAATGTAATAAGACATCTTTACTAGGGCTACAGCAGTTCCAACTACAGAAGCTTCAAGGTCTGTTCTGAAGAGCAAAACCACCTGCTCTACGTCATACAACAGAAAAAATCTGTGGCAGAAAACCCTTCGCAAACCTGTCCATACTCTGCTGAAGAGATAAGCAGAGATTCCACAAGCTCACCACAAACTTCCTGAGGCAGACACATTAAGATCTCATGTTCCCTTACCTTGCTGGAGGCACATCAATGTTGGAAGAAACCACTTTTCGTTTTTGTTCAAGGAGACAGATGGAACGAGTGTTTTCTTTCTCGTGGTCCAGGATCCGATTGGCTTTTTTGGTGTCTACCATTTTCATGTCTTCCTCCATGGCCAAGGGGAACAAGTGATGAGACATTTTCTTACTGGAGTCACGTTTTAAGTCCTCAGCTTGAAATGTAAAGGTCATCTCCCGCTTAATGCTCCCCACCTGTGAAATGAAGCGCAGACACTCTTACTGAAGAATCAGCTTTGCCCGATTCTCACAAGGAAGAACAACAAATGCTCTCCTCCACGTTCATCAGAGTTTGTAGTTTAAATGGGGAAAATTGCAACACAGAAATGCAATAACTAGCCCTACAAAGCAATGTACCATTACTAGTATTTTTAAGAGAGTATAACTCATGCTATATGTCTTTCTTTATTACAATAAAAAATGAGTACCGTACTTGAATGGACAATTCTCCAAACCAGATATTCAAAGACAGTAAGTACACAAAAACACGTTCAACATCATCAATTACTAGGAATAGACAAGCCAAAACAACAATTAAACACTCCTTTATACCCAATGAGAGGGCTACTGGAGAAACCTATAAAAAATGACAAAATCACGATAAAGCAAATGTTGGCGAAGCTGGTCGGATTCTAAAATGGGCAACAGAGGCAGGAAACAGTTCAAAATAGTTAATACAGAATTATCCTACTCCTAGAATTACACGCATAAGAACAGATTTACAGACAAAAATGTATGTGAATGCTCATAGCAGTATTCATCATAGTAAAAAGGTAGAAACAATTAAAATGGCCATTAACTGATGAATGAAAAATACATTAGATCCACATGATGGAATATTATTCAGCCATAAAAAAATGAGACACTGATATATGCTAAAAATGAATGAACCTTGAAAACAATATGCTAAATGAAAGAAGCCAGACACAAATGGCATATTGCACAATTCCGTATGAATTATAAGATGCAAACCCCCTTAAGACAGAAAGCAGGTCAGTGGCTGTCAGGGACTAGAGGAAAGGCAAAATGGGGACTGACTGCTTAACTGGAAAAAAGTTTTCTTTTGAAGGATGAAAATGTTCTGAGAGTAGAGCCAGTGAAGACAGTTGAACAACATGTGAATGCATTAGGTACCCCCAAATTGTATGTTTTAATATGGTTAAAATGGCAAATTTCAAGTCATATGAACTTTACAGCAATAACAATAACTAGAGGCAAAAAAGCAAAATAATGTACAGTTACTGCATCTATTACCATGCAAACAAAAGTCATGATAAACACAAGAAAGAAAAGTCTTTCTTTGAATACTTGAGGACCTCTACATTTTAAAATTTTAAATATTGCTTTCTGTTTTATAATTAAGAAGGTTCAATTAAGTTAAATATTTCAGGATTATTATCATGCTCAATAGAAAAGCTCTGACAGAAAAAGCTCTATTAATACAGCTCTTAACTACACTGCAGTTCAGGAAGAACTGCATTTTATCTTTTATCTACTGTAGGTACTATCTTAATAAAACCCCTTTTACAGCCAAAAGATAACATAAGCCTAATTTTTAAAAATATTTTGAACTAAAGGTTTCTGTTTTTAAACAGGGGCTCACTACGGAGTTCAGGCTGCCCCTGAACTCATATAGCCCACACTGGCCTCAAAGTTGGGACCTCAGCCTCCCAAGTACGTTCCACCAAAAAGAGATTTTTGTAAGATAACTGCCATTATAAACGAAGTGTGGAGCACACCAGTTCAAGTCCGAAGTATACAAGGAAGAGTCAGACTCCCTGGTAATCTGGAGTGTCATTAATCATTACAGTGATCTCAAAATGTGCACATCTAGAAGAGCTTTCACAGGCTGGTAAGATAATCTATCCCTTCTTGTGGAGAGAGTTGATGGAGCTCATTTGTAGAATTAGTAATTCTTTATCTCCCTACTGTTTAAACAGAAGACAGATTTGTTTCTTTTAATCTTTAGGTTGGAGAAAAAGCAAAAAGAGTTTGATGAGATAGATTTCGATTTACAGAATCCAAAACCTAAGTCGAAGGCAGTTTCAGAATCAAATGAGGTGTTGTGTGTTTGAGAGTAGCAGAGTCTAATATTAATGAGCGGAAGTTCTCAGATGAAGGAAAACCCAGATGCGTGTGTGTTGAAGACACAGAACCAGAACCTGCCACCTGCAACAGTCTCCAGTTGGCAGGCAAGACAGGCCCTTTCAGTGCCACTGTGCCTTGGAATGCACTTGGCAGGCAGCATCTTTCAAACAAACACACAAGACTCTAAACAGTGCTGCATTCTCTTGGTAAAGAGACTGAGTTCCCATGATTTTCTTGTTCCTACACCTGGCTCCACAAGAAAATGTCTCATTCTTTTGGTCTACTTGCAATGCATTAAGAAGTCTCCATGTTTCTTAGAAAGCCTTAGTGAAGTAAAACAGATGTCTAAGAAAAGTAAGTATGTGCTTGTGTTAACTGTTTCAACATCAATACATAACAAAAAGGAATAAGAAAATATTTCACACTTCCAAAAAGGCAATGAATGTTTTACAAAAAGGTAGCTTAAAGGGCTGGGGATTTAGCTCAGTGCACTTCACCTGCCTCGTGAGCACAAGGTCCTGAGTTCAATCTTCATGCCAAAAAAGTGGGGGGGTGGTAGCTTAGAAAAATCAACAAATATAATTATACATCTTTTAAATCTCTCCTTATTCAATATTTTATGCAATTCTTTCTTCCTGGAGGAAGTGACAGAGGTGATTTTCACATCTGTTCCCACTCTAAGTTGCAACAGGCATACCCTAAACCAGGCATAGAAGAAGAAAACAAAGGCTTCATCTTATCAACAGCTTCAAGTGCTACATTAACTAGCTACACAGGCAATTAGTATATAGTTGAAGCAACAGTCACTATCCATGCTTCTCGTGGGGCCAAGTGGACTGGCCAAAGGGAGTTCACCCAACATTTAAAGGAAGGAAGTAACATCAGAAGAAGTCTAACTTTTAGCATCGTAATTTTAGAGGGAAAAATGTGAAGTGAATACAAATAGAACACATTTCCTATAGAAGTATTATAACTGTATCCCGTGCCTTTGGCCAAGTCTTTACACTAAATCACATTATAGTCATATTCAACAATGCAAGCTATAAATATAAAATAGTTTTACAACCAAAAGTCTATTAATAATAACTGAGAATTGTATCAGTGGGATGGATTTCAAAGACAACTGAGCGCAGACTCTGTTTAAAAGTGGAATTACAGAAGCTGTCCATGGCAGCAGCCTGGGCCAAAGCACGAGGCCATTATGGGGTTGGCAGGCAAGACGGGCCCTTTCAGTGCCATTCGGCCTGGGTCCTTGCTGAGTTGTCTGCCTGGATTGCCTTTCCCTGGTCTCCTTACTTGCTACACCATATGTTCCCACAGGACAGGCACCATGCTGCATTCATTCCTGTGCTCCAGCCTCTAGCATGAGGCATGTAGCAGTCCTTTAAGAAATGTGTGCTGTGAAGGCTGCCCATGACAAGCAACTGGACTTTAGTCTTTCCTGACCCTTGCGCCTATGACACGCCTCTTCTGACCGCCTCTGTCACTCCTTCAGAGCAGAACTTCTCCAGGAAACCTGGAAGGGAAACAGCTGTGGCCAAAGACATCCCAGGTGAAGCCGGGTTGCACTTTGCTGAGCTGTATAAACTCGAGGCGTTGGACCCAGAGGTTACCCAGGAGACCACAGAGCTCTAGAGAGTATGAAGACTTTGTGGACAAAATGGCCGCTTTCAGGAACTAGCTGGGCCTAACTGGGCTTGTTAACCAACTTGCAAAAAAAAAAGTAGAAAATGAGAAGATGAAGGCCACTGGAACTTGGAACTTGCTCAAATCTATAGCAAAGTAGAGAGAAGCCCAACAACAGAAACTTCAGGCACTAACAGCAGACAAGAAAATGCAGCTAGAAAGGTATCGAGTTGAATATGAGACTTTGTGTAAAGTAGAAGCAGAACAAAAGGAATTTATTGACCAATTTAATTTTCAGAAATGAACTGAAAGTAGGAAGGCAAAAAAAGGTGCCCCCCCAACCAAAGAAACCTCTACCATTCTACTGACTTGACTGATGACCTAAGTATATCTTAAGATGCTGTGATGTAGTTCAGGATGAAGGCCCTGGATTCAATCCACGTACTGCCAGAAAAAGGGGTAGCATGGGGTTGGGGGGTGGGGATGTAGCTCAGTGCAAAGACCCTATGATCAGTCTCCAGTACTATGT